AAAGTGATATAACAGAATGTGAACATTATTGAACAATATCATTAATGTTGCATGCAAAAAAAATTTGGCCAAAGATTATATAAAAATGGCTAGAATAGTACATTGAAAGAGAACTGCTAGTTCAGGCTGAGTTTAGTAGATGCCATAGCACTAGGTATATTATTGCTAATGTCAGATGTTTCCTGGCTGACACCAGAGAAGACTGAAGAATGCCCATTTATGCTTTATTGACTATACAAAGGCATTTGGTTGTGTGGACCATAACAAATTATGGCTAACATTGGGAAGAATAGGAGTCTCAGAACACTTGATTGCTCTCATCAAACCTATACCAAGAGGCTGCTGTGCAAACAGAGCAAGGGAAAATGACAGTTTAAAATCAGCAAAGGTGTGTATCAAGATTGTATAATCTCTCCATACCTATTCAATCTGCATGCTGAGCAAATAATTTGAATTGTCAGCTCAACTTCTTACCACTAGGCCACCAGAGCTACCTGAGCAAATAATTTGCAAAGCTGGACTCTCTGAAGAAAAATGTGGCATCAGAATTGGAGGAAGATTCACTAACAACTTGTTAGAAGACACAACTTTGCTTTGCTAAATAGAAGGAAGACTTGGAACACTTGCATGAGATAAAAGACTAGGGCCTTCAATATAGATCACATCTCAATATCAAGAAAACAAAAACACTCACTACTTGACCAATAGGTATTACCATACATAATAGATGGGAAAAAAATGTTGCAACTGTCAACAAATTAATCTTACTTGGCTGCACAATCAACATAGTTGGTACCAGCAAATCAGGAAACGTATTACATTGGGAAAGTCTGCACTCAGGGACCTCACCAAATTACCAAAGAGCAACAATGCCAGTCTGAGGATTAAGGTGTGTCTGATTGAGGCTGTGGTCTTTTAGATCCCTTACTATGCAAATGAAAGCTGAACGATGACTAAGGATGACAGAAGAAGAAATGATGCCTTTGAGTTGTGGTGCTGGATCCGAGTACGGAATATCCCAAGGAATGCCAACAGAACAAACAGGTGTGTCTTGGAGAAAGGACAGCCATGGTGCTTCCTGGAGGCAAAGATGATAAAGCTCTGTCTCACATTTTTGGGCATATTGCTAGGAGAAGCTACTCCTTGAAGAGGGGCATCATGCTTGGAAAGATGGAGAGTTGGAGAAAGATAGACCCTTAGCCAGATGAATTGACTCAGTGACTGGTGCAATGGGCTTGAGTAAGTCAGAGATGATGAAGACTGCACAGGACAAAATAAAGTTGTTCAGATATGTCGTTCAGTTGTGCTTGGCTGGGCAGCAGCTAACAATAACAACTACTACTTTAAGGAAAAAAGATTGTTTCAATCTGCTTCCATAAAAACTTACAACCTAAAGAAACAGTTCTACTCTGTTGTTTAGGGTAACTCTCTGAACCCTATGCACTCTATGGAGTTGGAATCCATTCAGTGGCAACAAGTTTGATTTTAAGGAAATCTTTTGAAAGTAGACCTCCAAACCTTTCCTCTGAGGCAGCTCTGTGTGGATTTGAACTGGTGACCTGTCACCACATACCCATTTGTGCCACGAGGACACTAAGAACTTTCGGACTTCTCAAATTTAACACCCTTAGCCAGAGTGTTTAAGCAATTACAGGGGCAAATGAAGAAGGCAGGTGTTTGACCAGTTGGATACTTATCGGTCATTTATATATATATATATATATATATATAACGCTCTAAGTATCAGTGTCTGCCAAATGCTAGTTTCCTTAAGGCTGGTCTAATTTCATTCAAACTCTTTAATTTGCATGTTTACACAGAAATTATTCCAGAATCACACCTTATTCCCACCTTTTTAAAACCAAACTTTGTCAAGAGAGTCCAGATGGAGCCTTAGTGAAGTAACTTTGAGAATCTAACTTTAGTTTGGCCCTTGGGGTGAGGGGCCCTTGGCAAGAACTGACATTTGATACAGTTAAGATAGTTAACATGCTGAGTGCGTACAAGTGCAGCACTTTACACTGTATGCCATTTGCCTTCAAAGATTCTTAGCAATTTCATTTGCTTTCCTGATTAATTCTACCCCAGAAGTGAGATCTGATACCCTTGTGACACTCTGGAGAGATCGGAAGTAGCAGCTGATTTAGCAAACGGTAAACCCTCTTGAGCTCCAGGGCTTTTGGCCAAAAGACTGGGACTCAGATTTGCTGCTCCATTTTTAGTCTAAGCACTGGATTTCTTGATACATCTGCGTCAGCAGCAGCAGTGAAGCCCTTCGTTTTGAATATTATTTTCAATTCAGATTATCCCCAGAAATCACTGTTTGATCTTAGAAAGAAGACAACTGTGTATTTGGCGAGCACTTCTATTCTTTCAGATTATAACCTCCCTCAGGACATGTTCTTTCTAGCAGCATTCTTGCACAAAGTCAGCCATTCTCATCATTGTATGTACAACCTGACACTCTTAGTGACTGGCTCCATTCTCTGCCTATTCGGCTTGTTTCCCCCTCCCCACCACCCTCATATTTGTGGAATTAGATTGTAAAATCTTGCAAATCAGGGAAAATGGCAGCTTCCTTTGCTGAATCAAGTTTGTAAAATGCACAAAGTTTGTAAAATGATGAGTGAAATAATTTAGCAAAGCAGGCTTTGAGCCTATCAAGTGTGAGGAGAGTGTTTTCATTTTATGGTGAAAGTTAAACTGTGTTTTGTACTTAGTAGCATTATATGAGGATTTCTTGGATGGTTCAAATGGTTAATGTGTTGGCTAATAATCAAAAGGTTAGAGGTTTGAGTCCATCCAGAGATAACTTGGAAGAAAAGCCAGGCCATCTATTTTTTTTTTTTTTAAATATTATGTGATTTCCCATCCTTCTCCATGGAGCAGCTGGAGGATCTGAACTATGTTCCTTTGGATAGGCAGTGCAACTCCTAACCATGAAGCTGCCAGAACTCCCTAGAAGCAATACTCTCAGTACAGATGATGGAAGGGTCACATCTGGTGGATAGGTTTCAGTATAACTTCCAGAGCAATAGTAAGTCTTTGACATCACAAGAAGGGAAACAAAAGAAGACCTTCAGTAAAAAAGAGGAAAAGGAATTGACACAGTGACCCCCAAAAATATATGGCGTTGAGCATGGCAGAGGATGGATAGGAAGGATGGAGCAAAATAAGGCAAGGTTTAGATTTACTGATAGGACTTTGTTGAGTCATGGTCAACCGGAAGACATCTAACAACAATTTTGATATGTTTATTTAAAAGTCGTGATGTCTATAATTACGATATTTTTCAATTTTTCTTAATGTTAATTGTATCATATATTATCTCTTGTCTTTGACAAATTTTGCTTACATGTCAGCATTTTTTGTTTTCTCAACTTCATTTTACTATTATTACATTAAAAATGTAAATGTATAACAATGATTAAAATTAATAAA